CAACTATAAATCATGGACCAACATTATTATCTTCAATGGTTAATATTACAAGGGTAGTACTGAAAAATTTTGAGCCTAACATAGAAACAAATATTTTTTCGGTCAAATATAGTTTATTTTTCAACATAATCTCCTTTTAAGTCGATACACTTTTCCCATCGATACTCTAACCTCTTTTAACCCCTCCAAATAGTAGTTGGCGTCTTGCTCCACAAAATAGGCGTTTACGTATGCGATAACTTCCTCGTTCGATGAAAATCTCTGTCCTCCAAGCGAAATTTTAAGCTTAGGAAACAGGAAAAAGTCGCTGGGGGCCAGATCTGGTGAATACGGTGGGTGGTCAACCAATTCGAAGTGCAGTTCGTGAATTTTGGCCATGGCGACCGCCGAAGTGTGAGCAGGTGCGTCTTGAACAACACCTTCTTCTTCTTCAAATGCGGCCGTTTTTTTGCAATTTCTGCCTTCAGTTTATCAAGTAATGATACGTAATACGCTCCCGTTATTGTTTTATCTTTTTCAAGATAGTCGATACACACAATTCCGTGATTATCCCAAAAAACAGCCATTACCTTCCCAGCTGATGGAACCGTCTTCATCTTTTTCGAAGCAGGTTTACCCTTTGCAGTCTATTGTTTTGACTGTTCTTTTGTCTCTGGAGTGTAGTGATGGATCCAAGTTTCATCTACAATTATGAATCGACGCAAAAAATTTGACTCGTTTCGTTTGAACCGCTCCAACAGGGCCTTGGAAATGTTCATTCGAATTCGTTTTTGATCCAAAGTGAGCAAACGCGGCACTCAACGCGCGGATAGCTTGCGCATATCCAATTCTTCAATCAATATATGACAAACGGGTTCTTTCGATATGCCCATAGCCTCTCTAACCTTGATTCGATGGTCGTCCAGTACCAGTTTGGTGAACATTTTCGATGTTATCAGCGGTAGTCGCAGTTTTTGGCTGTCCCGAACGCTCATCATCAGCCAAGCTGGTACGACCACGTTTAAATTCAGCTGTCTTTTTACGGTAGCAAATGATGGAGCAGAATCCCCGTAAACAGCGTCCAACTCGATTTTGCGCAGGCATATTGTCTTTCAAATGTAAGAATTTAATCATGGCACGATATTCAATTTTTTCCATTTTTATAAAAACACTGACATCGACTAATACAAACGACTGTCAAACAACAACTGAGCGTCCAAAATGGTTGAAATTTTCACAAAAGTCTTTCAAAGCATATACTATTGTAATACTAGAATGGTTTTGATGAGTAACGTCATCTTCATGTTAAGGCTCAAAACTTTTCAGACTACCCTCGTAATTCCATCCACAGCAACAAGTGAAAATTCAATTAGTGTCATATCAAGAGAAAAAAATTCAATGCCATCCACATCAAAAGATGAAAAAAAAAAAAAATTTTTCAATCCTTTTGAAAATAATGAGGTAACCTTTTAACATCTTTACTATGTATTATTTTAAAACAAGCAATAAGATAAATAAAAGCCTTTTTCATTTCGTAGCGAATGAGTCATATGCAATCTATATCTGCATTGTCGTCAGATTCACAATCACCAGTAAGTTCTGATAAAGAAAATAAAAAGAGCAAAATAAAGACGCTATCATCTTTACGGAAGAAACAACTTGATATAGAGAGCAATAGGATAGAAGAAATTAAAAAGTTACAAGAGCATTAGTAATAATACTTTGCAAGAAGAAAATAATAATATACTTAAGGAACGAAATGCGTTATTAAAAGAAATACTCTTGAAAATCAGACATCGTAATTAATTAATGTAAGAAAAGAAAGTATATATTAAAGGAAGTATATTTTGATACTTCCTTAATATGTTATAATACTCATTGATTAATGCTAATATAGGCGAGTTTTTTAATTCATCGATTGATGAATCGCAATTGTGCGCAAATGCAACTTTACTCTGAAAAAGTAGTACTTGTGCATAATGCGATTAATTACTCGATGAATTAAAAAACTTATCTTACTTAATATATTAAGCTACTTTCAATATATCAAGACATATTTGTTATTGATTTAGATACTGAAAATGTTTCTTTTAATATTTTTATAATTGAAATGTTAAATTTAAATGTTAAACTTTTATTATCTCATAGATAAGAGTTAAAAAGTATTGATTTATAGATATTAAAATCTATTTTGTTTTATATACATTATTGAAATGTCAATTTTAATGGAGAACATTGTATTACAAAGGATACATATATTATAAAGTATTGATTTGTACCTGAAAATATACCTTATCCGCAGCGAGAAATGATGATGGAATTGATATTGATTCGATGTTGAATCGATATCAATTCCATCATCATTTCTCACTGCGTCTGTCATGATAATATTAAAATATTAAGTTACGTTTTAATGAATATAAAGAATATTGATTTGACCTGAAAATGTTCTTTTATTATCTTTAAAAATAAAACGTTATTTATATTCCATTTTAAGTGTACCAATTTATAAAGATATAACATTTATTAAATATTCAATGTGTGATGTATCCAAACGTAGTTATGTCATAAAATGTTTTACAATAAAAAAATTTAATACGATTTGTACTATAACTAACAGTTTCTATTTAATAATTCCGATATTGTATTCCTTTTGTCTATTGCTTCATTATTTGCTTCTATTTCTTCTCTCTTTACTGCTTCTTCTTCTTTTTTCTCTAATAATTCTTCATTTATTTAAAAAATGATCTCATCATGATCTATTAAAAAATTATGCAGAACACAGGCTGTTACTATCATCTTATTTCCAAAATCGAAATCTGCAATATCTAAATAATTTAACCTGAGCAGTCTTTATGAAGTCAAATGTTCTTTCTATTATTGATCTTATACTAAACAGTCTAGTATTATATTATTTGAGTTCTAATTAGATGACTCATATTTCGATAAGGTGTCAATAAATTCACTAACAATGGGTAAGCTACATCCCCAATTATATGACGATTAGGTGATAACAAATTATGTGTTAACTTTCGAAAAATTTCACTTTGTCTAAATACACGTGCATCGTGCATGCGACCTGGTAATCCCACAAATATATCTATAAGTCATGCTTTATCATTGCAGATAGTTTATGCTTTATCATTGCATCTTTTTAAAAAAGCGCAAATTTATTATAGAAATTAAATATTATTTCAAAAATATTAATCAAAAATATTAAAAAATATTACAAAAAAATATTACAAAAATATTACATCTTGTAAGACAATAGAGTGAAAACCTTTTCGATTGTAGAAATCATTAGCATTGTCTATAGGAGCTTTGCATGATATATGGCAATCATCAATAGCACTTCCTGAGATATCATAAGAGCGTCTCTTAAATATCTGTAATAATTTTAGATAATTTAATAAATATTAAATGATTTGTGTGTACATGTATATGTATATGTGTGCATGCACAAACAACTTACCTTTGAAGTTATGTCGCACATTCGTGCATTGGGCCATCTCACATAATTTGGTAATATATCAACTAATACATTTGTAATTTCTTTGACTATATCATGAGCAGTACTTTTTATCAAATTAAATCGATCTCCAGTAGCCAAATAACTTTCTTTTGTCAAAATCCATATAGTAAACATTACTTTTTTTCTTAAGTCTACAGGATTATTATGATTTAAAGGCATTGCGTGTCCAATTACGTTTATCAAATTCTACATAAAATGAGCAAAGCAAAAATTGATATGATATTATTAACAAATATACAAAACTATAATATTTGGATTTGCATACTTCCAATGTGATTCTAGACATCCTAAAGTGTTCCTTAAATAAAGGATCAGTGTATCGTGATACAATTATTAGTAATAATTTTCATTTTTCGGATCGTATTCTGCGTTCATTTTGTAATAAATCATTCTGCAATGGTTCGCCAAGTTCGTTTGCCATGAAGTATATGATATTTCTGCGTATTTCTACACCTCTCATATCTGCATCGTCGGCTCCAATCAATACTGCCAATTCTAATAAATCCATATTCGTCAAACCATCCGTGATAGTAAGTGTCAAATAATAAGAACAATAACACGACTGTAATTATTCTAACTTGTTAACAAACTTTCACAGAAAACACTGATAAACAGATGGTATAAGTCACGTGGCCTAAAGCGTCGTTCAGCAACTGGTAACCGCTCACTCAACGGTTGTTACAACATGTTGGAATTAATTGAGATTTGCTGAACGCAGCCATTGATTAATATCAATTCTTTGTATAAAATGAGCGAGGTCTTGAAAATCATCGAAAAAAAAACACAATGACTTTTTGAACAACCCAATATTATACATTTATTATATTCTATTAAATATGTTTCACGTAGTTGACGAATTATTTATACTAATTTATTATTTCAATTTACTTTTATATCATCTAATATTATTTGAGATATTTTGTATCAATGTGGTCTAATGTGCTGATAATGTGCTGATAATAACATCGTTACAAATTATGAGAGACTATAGCGATACTGCAGAAGAAAAAATTCATAGACCAGAAAACTCAGAGAGAAACCAAGCTAAATAATGTATTATTAATAGCAAATAAATGTAGCGTGAGTGAAACAAGGGCGTTGATTTGCATCTTGATTAAAATTAGAGAGTGCGAATATTCACGTTAACCGTTAAAGTGATTAACAATCGATTGGAACGTATAAAATTGAAATGGAAATCTATAAAAAATTTTTCAAGGATTTAGTACAATAATATTTTTTCAATAAAATTAAATTGTTATAAGAAAAACAAAATTAAATGTTATTTAAAATATTTAAAGAGATGCTGGACGAGCGACTGCGACGAAAACGTTCACATATATGCACATCTAACATACATAGATACATTTATGTATACATACACTCATATATATAGACACGCATACATGTCCATGAAATTTTCAAGCAAAGTATTCTCTTGTATATAGCTAAGCGCATTTTAAAAGCATAGTATTGTTCTTCCTTGTAATTTCGTCCCGGGTAAATTTGTATTGTTTATATGTTCAAAGTCTAAACTTTTATGTACAGAAAAATAGCACAAGTTAACCTCAAAAATCGATAACAAAACTGTAATTTTCTAACTTTTCTTTCCAAAAATTTTCTAACTTTTTTTTCCTCTTTCATAAAATATACAGACTCGAATGTGTTATTGTTTATACTTCAATTCTAGAAAAGAATTTTTAATTCTGTATAATCAATGAAAAGATTACTTTGTCTGAAAATAATCGACTCAGTCTCCAACATCGCCTTAAGGCCTGTGAGTAGTCACCGCGGCCATATTGGAATTGTGACGTCATAGGTGAGAAATAATACAATAAAGTTTATGACGGTAGTTTTGCAAAGAGATATTTGACTAAAATATCACCTGATATAACTTTAAGACACTTGTGAAAATGGATGGCTACTATCCTTTCCCTTCCTGATAGTCACTAAATAGCTGTAAAATGCATGTGAAATAAAGCCTATTCAGGCAGAAAACACACGATTTGACTGTTGAAAGAAGTAGAAAAAATACTTTCACATATAATGTCCGGTGATAATTTCAGCTATTTTTTTACGCCTATTTTTACAAATCTGGTAAATACGAAACAAGTCATATCTGCACGATTAAGCACAATAACGAACACCGTAACGAAAACCGTTATGAAAAATGCATGTCATTTGTATAAAGAACATGAACAAGAATAAGATGAACAAGGGTATCTGAGCTTTTATTTTTCACCGCGACGGTATGTCGCATCAACGTGGAGTTCTTCGCTGAGATTCAAGGGCCTTAAGAAAATCAATTCTTTAAAAATAAATAAAAATTTTTAAATCTTATTAAAATACTGTATTAGAAAATGGATGGCTAAAATGGCTAAAATATTTTTAAAAATTTATATATATAATATTATATATATATTTTATATTATATAAAAAATTTATATATATTCTTACAAAGAAATCTCTTGCAGTAGTTGAAAGCAGTTATATAAAAATTATGAAAATAGAAATATAATTATATCAAATAATTCGAAGATCTCCGAATATTTTAATTTCATCGAAAGTACACATAGCCTCAACTACGTATAACAATATTGAAAGATAACTATTAGATTCGGAAAAAATTAATGGAGACCGACTGGATTTGAACTCGGGATCCCTCGTCTACCAATCCGACACTTAGTCTGCACGACCACGACGGCTCCTCTCTGTTAGCTATTTATATTCCAAATCTCTTTCATGACCACTTACGGTCGTCTAATTCTTATAATATGATACAGATTGTAAACTGCTTGAGAGAACGGAGAACGAAATATTTCTTTGAAATCGACGCTAATATCAAATATACAGACGATCTCTCTCATACTTTGCAAATAAATTCGAGTTTTCAGCCCGCCGTCATACTCATCAAATGCATCATTTTTTATCAACGAAGAGATCTTGCAAATATCAGGCATAAAAAAAAGAAATAGAGAATCAGGAAAAAATGTATAAATAGTGGTTTAATTCTATATTTATTTATCAAGTCAAAAAAATTAGAATTCAAAATTAAAATCGAAAAATTATATTAAAAATTATTCATAAAATGTAATTGTGTAAATCAAATTTAATTGTGTAAATCAAATGAGTGGTCCTTATTTATTACAAATTCTATTAATTACAATTTAATTGATTCAGAGTAAGAATACTATTGGGTTGCCGGAAAAATCATGACGTATTTTTTCTATGTTTTTCAAAGGCTTATTTATATAAAGAACAAAGATTAATCAATGATATATTGCCCGTTTTGGTCGATAATCTTTTGCCATCTTTCAATGAGTTTCATAATTCCTCTTCCTTCATAGAAGGACTTTATCGGCGAAAAATTGAACAAGGTGCTGATTTACAGCCTCATCTAAATTAAATATTATACCATGCAAGGAGTTTTGAAGAGAACGAAACAAGTGGAAGTCTGATGGCGCAAGGTCAGGCGAGTATGGTGGGTGTGGTAACACATTCCATCCAAGCTCCAATAATTTTTGACGGGTGGTCAAATTTGTGTGTGGTCTCACGTTGTCGTGATGGAACACAATTTCTTTATGATTAATGAGCTCTGGACGTTCCTGGATGATGGATTCGTTCAAACTATTCAATTATCGACAGTACACATTCGAATTGATTATTTGGTTCCTTGGTAGCAGCTCGGAAAACACGACACCTTTAAAATCCCACCACACTGAGAGCATAACCTTCCTCTGATGAATGTTTGCTTTTAATATAGTTTGAGGCGAATCATCATGTCGGAACCAAGACGCACTACATTGTTGTAAACAACAACAATTCACTTCATCACCATCAAGTGTAGAAAGTTATAATATCTGAGACATATAACAAGAAGAGTAAGATATTTCATGATATGACTGCAGTAGCCTCAAAAAATTTAAATAGCCATGATGATTGCCAACTTATGACGCGAGAAAGAGGGGAGGAAGGGAGAAGACAATATTTTATCGAAATTTCCGTTTTTTCTATTTTTTATTGTTAGATAAAGAGAATGTCATTTGAAAAAATCCGAAGAATAAATTATGATTCTGTATAATACAGCATATTGATGTAAAAATCTAGGCTTATTTCTACATAAATTTGTATTTCTAATTTATAAAATCAATTTCTAAATTTTAGTAATTTTAGTTTATAAGATTTCTACAATTCTCCCTTTCTTTAATTGCTAAAAAATGATCACCATTTAACTTGGTTTGAAAACAGGAGTACATAATTCCTATGCATTTATGATTATTGTCGTTCTACACAGTCTTACAGTTAAACTTTTACTCTAATTTTCAGGTCTGTTGATCCTTGACATTTTGCAACGCAGTTCCTTGATACGACGATTTGGCACGACGATAGCGACATTTTCGGAGAAATTTTGTTGCCGGAATGGATGAGTTTATGCAGAATTCGGTAGCTTTGACGAAGTTTCACGGTCAAAACTTGACGCTATCAAAGAGCGAGTGAAAAGTTTGCGGCAATCAGTCTCATAGCTCGTACTAATGCGATTTAAAATATCCGGTGGGAGGGAGGGGGAATAATAAAACAGATTTTAATCGATATCAATAATATTGATCATCGAATTATTATAGAGTCACTATGTTGAAAGTCTGCTAAACCAAAGCGGCTCGCAGTTGGTAATATAATTAATTGAATTTATTTCATATTAAAAGATTTCAGCAATCATCCTGCTTGCCGAGGAAATGCCATGTTTCGCGTTGTAGTTTGTTAGTTAACATATACTCGACCTATATCTATGTATTATTTTTTACAAGTCTTTTAGATTTCTTTTTCAGAAAATTTGAACTTTTCAACACATTTTCGAACATTTACTTACAGTGTAAAGTTCCTTAAAAATTAACGCAAGATTTATGATATTCTTTCTTATCTTTTTTTTAAAAGTTGTTAAACATATGAAAAGATGTAATGTTACGAAAAATAGAATTATTAGGTGTACAAAAAAGTTTTGAGCTTTTTTTTGTAAAATTCAATCTTTATTCAAAAACAAACAAAAAAATATTAATCAGCGAAATATTCCCCGTTTGCATCAACAACCTTTTGCTATCTTTCGAATAGCTTGCGAATTCCTTGACGATAGAAGCTCACCGGCTTCGAAGCGATAAAGTCATCAATGCATTTTCGTATCTCTTCAAATCTCACGAAATGTGTATAGCCAAATGATGCAGCGACCGGAATAGGTAGTAATCGGAAGGTGCCATGTCTGGGCTATACGCCGCGTATGGGAGAAGTTCCCAGCCTAACGCAAAGATATGGTCCTGAGTCGCTTTCGCAACATGTGGTCGAGCATTGTCATGAAGCAAGATCACTTTACGACGTCCTTGGCCAGTAAATGGCCTCTTTTCTTCTAATGCATCGCTCAAATTGGTCAATTGTTGTTGGTAGCGGTCTGCCGTGATTGTTTCACCCGGTTGTAACAACTCGTAATACAACACACCTTTCCAATCCCACCAGATACAAAGCAAAACCTTTTTGGCATGGATATTGGGCTTTGGCGTTGATGTCGAAGGTTAACCCATGATTTTCTACGTTTAAGGTTATCATAAAGAATCCACTTTTCATCGCCTGTAATGATTTTGTATAGAAAATCTTTTTTCCGGAACTTTGAAAGCAAAGTGAATGCAGTGTCACGCCGACGATTTTT